TTGATCTTTAGATCCCACAGAGAACTGAGAACATGTGATGTTTGTCCTTCTGTGTCAAAGGCATTTCCTTTAGCAATTCACTTTTACAAAGCATCTGTCTTAGTTGTTACGGAACCACCAACTCTCTTTTCACATTTATTTCATTAATTTACAACTGTTCAATTAAATTACATAATTTCAATTATTGGTGCAATTAGCATACATGGACTGAGAACAAACACAGGTGCCTTTAAGTCCACTACAACCCAGCTGATGGGAGCAGCTATGGGCAGGCAGACCAGGGAGGAGCTCATCACCCCGGGTGTTCAAGCACCTTCCTCAAAGTATTCACCATAGAATGAAGAGCACCGGGCAATCCAGTTAGTTGGATAAATGGAGGTCAATTATGAGGGCTGCTGGTGCACATTTGTGTCTCCTTGCCTTTACTGCAAGATCCAGAGCCCGTTTCAAACTGCTTAATATCACCCAAAACCAGAGCACAGAGGTTTGCGCTCAAAAGGTTAGCACAAACTAAGCGTGAATCATTAGTTATTTAAATAAATTCAAAACATTTTACTGCCTTTGTAAGCCAGATTCATTCAATAAACACAAACAAATGTTTTTAGATTTCTAAATATTTTCTAAGCACCAACAGTATACTTGATATCAGGCCTTCTAGTGGACTAGAATTCAAGCTGATAAACTGTACCAAGCTTCAAGGATACAGGATATAAACTTTTCTATCCTTTTGATCTCTGCATTAATGTGTAACGTGATTTTCAGTGCAGTTGCAGGGAAGAGATTTGGTACTGGTATCTATGGGATATACTGGTTTTCTGACAATGTATTTTTTACTTTCTTTTGACTTCTATTTTTACCATATGATGCACGGATTCCAGCTGTGGGCTAGTCAAAGAACTTTTTGCCTCAGCAAAAGATTGTCGTCAAAGGTCTCTGCCTCTATTGCACACTTTTAAAAATTACTATTCAATAGCTTAGAAGGCTCTTCATTGTTGGAAAAAGCAAATATATTAAAAATTAAGAAGATCCTTGAAAAGCATAAAGTGAGTACTTTCAGATGAGTCTCAAATGAATACTTTCTTTGAATAAGAAAATGAGAATTCTGCTAGTCTTATTTTAGCTCTGTTAACTATTTTTCTTCAGGGTGTCATTAGAGGACACTTACATAGCTTCACAATACTTACCTTTACCTTTAAAATGACTGACTGACTTTGACAACTAGTTAGACATCCAGCATTTTTCCCCCGCCTTTCTTTCTTTTGTTTTTTTCCTTTTTTTAAGACAAGAGTCCCGCTCTATTGCCCAGGCTGGAGTGCAGTGGCACAGTCTTGGATCACTGCAACCTCTGCTTTCCGGGTTCAAGTGATTCTCCTACCTCAGCCTCCCATGTAGCTGGGATAACGGCCGTGCACCACCGCGCCAGGCTAATTTTTGTATTTTTATTGGAGACAGGGGTTTCACTATGTTGGCCAGGCTGATCTCGAACTCCCAACCTCAATCTGCCTGCCTCAGCCTCCCAACGTGCTGGGATTACAGGGGTGAACCACCATGCCCGGCTGTCCAGCATTTTCTAATGTTCAAAACTCCACCTGTTTGTAGTCAAACTAAATTTTGTAGTCAAAGTAAATTGTTTGTAGTCAAACTAAATCTTTCAAGCACTTCCTGTAATCAGTTAATATTTTAATAGTCCTCCTAAATTTCCATTTTATGCAGTCTCCTCAGATTATTTCCTCAACCCAAGTTGCAGCCCATTTATTCCAGTCCAATACACTAAGTGTATATATATATATTCATTACATCTACTTCAACTGAACGTATTTGACATTTTGAAAAAGACAATTCCTTGCTTATCACTTCCTGCCATCTGTGGTTCGTTGGTGCCAACCTAGTTTTATAAGCAAGATAAAATTGAGGCAGTAAAGTCAGAAAACATTTTCTGGACTTTCTCTATTGATTTTATAAGTCAGTACATATTCAAGAGCTATTTCTGTTTCATCATTTCTTTTTTCTCTGATGATTTCTTCTTGCCCTTTTGTTTTTCTCATTAAGCGCCCCTTAGGGTGTTGGTAGGAGGAAGGGAAGGAGATAAAATTCAAATGAGGTCCTTTAGCCAGCCACTCACTGGTTAAAGCACAGTCCCAAGAGGCCAGTTTTGTGAGCTGGATTCTCTTCACGGTCCAGTTTATTCTAGACAGATGCAACTTTGCTCCAAGGCTACAGACCCATCGCCTGCCAGATGTTTTGCACTGTGGTCCATGGTCACGAGGGGGGACCGGGTCAGTAAATAGAAATGACTCAGGAAAATCCTGCCTCATCTCAAGAAAAACAAGTGGATGTGTGGGTCATTCTTACCCCGAGAACTGCAGAGCATTTCACTTGTTAACTTCTCAGGCTAAAGGTCAGGAAACAAGGCTCTAACCACTGCTTAAAACAGGTTTTGGCAATTACTTGTTAATTTCTTACCCCTTCATTCTCTGCAATTCATTTAAACCAAAATCAACTGTCACCTTTGGTAGAGCTCACAGGCTAAGAAAAGTTTTCACTATTATAAATGGTTGAAACAAACTAAAAAATAGCCTTTCATGACACATGAAAAAACATGAAATTCACATTTCAGTGACCATAAATGAAGTTTTATTGGAATAGCCACCCAATTTGTTTATGTATCATCTGTGGCTGCTTCTGTGCAACACGGGAAGGGCCAAGTAGTTGCAACTGAGACTATATGCCTTGCAAAGATGAAAATATTTGCTATCTGTCCTTTTACAGAAAGTTTCCTTCTCCCTGCGTTTTCTCATTCTGCACAAACATTTCTGTTATCCTTACCACCTTAAAATTCACGTGCTTTCTTTATTTCCATTTGTGCAGATTATTTTGTTGCTCTTGAAATCATAAATCAGGAGCACTACCTCCATAAAAATGTTTTTTTCTCTCTATTTTTATAAAGCACTATGTGTTTCTCAGGATTTTCAGAAGATCATGAAAACAAATGATGTCTCATCTCCTCCAGATGGTTAATATAGTTTAAGGTGTGTACATATAAACTTATGATACTACTACAAGACTTTTTTTCACACTTTTCTCCAGTGCTAAAATAAATGAATTTTGCTCCTGACCCCTAATTGAAAAGCTATTCACTGAAAAGGGAACTAAGCCCATTTGTACTTTATTAGGAATAAATTCAAAATGCATGAGTTCGCATTACCATTATTTTCCAGAAGAATAATTTCAGGCAATTGAACATCGTTTTTGGAGAATAAAAGGAATGGTTTAAATAGCTCTGGGTGTGGCCTTCTATCCCTGAGCAGATGTTATCTGTAAGCCAGCCGCCTGGAGCTGGGAGTGTATTGCCCAAGGAGGTGGCCATGTTAGGGCCCCAGAAAGTTCCGTGCTGGCATCCCTGCAGGAGTGGGTGGAGAGCACCCAACTGCAGAGGGTCTCAGAAATGGGGATTCTTGGCCTGTACCTTAAGATGCCCCACCCCATAACTGTCTGCGGGGATGAGGAGGGGGAAAACGGGAGGCCGGTTCTCTGAGTTTTCTCAGAAGTATAACTGGAGATGCATATATTCTGGTACAAGTCATTTATCTCGGAGGTGATCTCAGGAAACGACAGTCCAGAGGCAGGAGAGTTAGACAGAAAAGGGAAGACAGACAATGAAGGGTGTGTCATCAAGCACACTCAGGTGGCCTGGCTGTAATCCCACTGGGAAACTAGTAAACGGCCTTTCCCTTTCACGCAGGCTTCCGAGTTATCCTGCCTGAAGGGTCAGGTAGCTTCTGGGAATGTTAATTCTCCAGTACTTTCATCCTACCCTGATTGGTTTCAGAGAAAAGCCTTCAGGCAAAGTGACACAGATACTGGCTATTGTTAGTTGGTCAGTGGGCACTCAGGAAGTAAGGGCCCAGGGGTGTGGGTGGGTACCAACAGCATCTGCTATAGCTGTTTTCTCTCAGTCCTACAGACAGCCTTTTACTGGAACCCATGGCTGCTTTTAGGAGGATGGGAAGGCGAGTAGATGCAGGCAGGAGCCAGGCTGCTCTGCAAGCCTCTCTCTCCCACCTGCTCTGTCCCTTCTGCTGCTGGGTTCGCTAAGGGATTCAGACTTGAAAAAAACAAGTTAGATGGTGCTATCTCTGCATTAAAGCAGGATTGAGGAGACCTTGGTTCTAGCCCCACGCCTACCAATGTGTAACCCTGGCAAGTTAAACAACTTTCTTAGATTTCACTTCCTCATCTATAAAATGAGCATTGGTTGGGTCTCAAACATCTTTTCTTGATTAGACTCAACAAGCAACACATATACAACCCTCGGAAGAAAAGAAAACCCACTTTCGAGATTTCTCAGAGGAAACCAGCATTGCAAATTCACCTCCTTCCACTTCCTTCTCCCAGGAGATAGGCAGATTCCTGCTCCCCTTGGAGCCCACTGTAGCTCCATCCCTTTATTAGTATGGAGGTTGCCAACGTCTTAGCGAGGTATCAAAACACAAAATGGTGCCTGGACTTTCATCTGTGCACAGAGTGTGTCATGACTGGTGCTCATATTCTCTTCCCTCACTGAATATTCTGTAAGCTGAGAGGCGCCCTGCCCTGGGCATACCTGTGCTGGTATATAGAGAGGGCTGGTGTGGGAGAGAAGGTGGCATAGTATTCAATTACATAAAATGGTGTCATCCTACCTTTTCTCCTTTCAGTAGTTTAAATTAAATTGCAATTGAGCCCTAAGTGACATAGCCATAACTTACCAATATACACATCTCCAGATATGGTGTAAATGAAGCTTGTCCACCCTGGAAAGGACCAGCAACATTAAAATGTTAGTGTCCAAATGCCAAAAGGAACAAACACATATACGTATTACAAACATAAAGATGAACTTGGAGATGAAATCCTTTTCTTCCCTTTAGATAGACATTTTAAGATTTAAGTTCTGTGAACTGTTTAAAATATACACTGACACTCATATTGTTCTCTTTCTCACACACAAACACAGACACACCCCTAAACCTAAATGACTTGGTCCCAAATATTTAAGAAGCACCCAAAGTAGACAGTGTACAATTCACTTGGCTGTGTATCTACAGGCTATAAGCTGTATTGTCAAACAAACTATTCCTTCCAGTTGTAATGTTATGATAGTAACTACAACACTCCAGTCTGGCTTTATTTTCCATTTGTTGTGCCTCCAAAGTGTCTGAAGTGTGAAGATGATGCTAGAAATACGCTTTTTTTTTTTTTGAGCTGGAGTGCAGTGGCGCCATCTCGGCTCACTGCAACCCCTGCCTCCCAGATTCAAGTGATTCTCCTGCCTCAGTCTCCCTAGTAGCTGGGATTACAGGCACACGCCACCACATCTGGGTAATTTTTGTATTTATAAAATTATTTAATAGAGATGGGGGTTTCACCCTGTTGGCCAGGCTGGTCTCAAACTCCTGACCTCAGGTGATCCACCCACCTTGACCTCCCAAAGTGCTGGGATTACAGGCGTGAGCCACCGTATCCGGCCTGCTTTTTTGTACTTGGTTGCATTCTAGTATCAGTGCATTCTAGTTCCAGTGCATTCTAGTTGCATTCTGGTTCCAGTGAACTCCTTCTTTTTATCTAGCCTAACATAGAATATGCATCAGTTCCAGGGATGCAGGGATACATAATCTTCGGGGTATAAATGGGCTCCAGGATGGCCTGTGAATTCCCTGGAATTGTTCACACAGTTTTTCAAGTATGTACATTTTTCTGGGAAGAGAGTACATAGGATTCACCAGATTCCTACCATGATCCATGGGGCCAAGAAATCAAAATCTCTGACAATAGGCCATTTGCACTTTCAGCACCAACACCTGATTTTCATGGATGTTTATGTATTGTATCTATGGCTCAGAAGAGATGCTATGTTTCCACTGAGAGATATGAATCCAGAAAAGACACAGTCAAAATGGAATCATGATATCCCTCCATGTGCCTTCAGTGGAAAAGGAGATCTGGAAAGAATGCAGGGCGCAGTTCAATGCTGGAAGGACAAAGCCCACACTGGAGTCTGTGTAGGAGTCAGCGTGATGACAGAGTCAACAAAGGCAAGTGCAGAAGGAGCAAGGAGGCCACAATATGTTCCAAGGATATGACTGTCATGGCAGATGGCTTGAAACGCCCAGTTGGATACAAAAGAAAAGCTCTAACTGAGAAAACATAAATTAAGTCTCACTAAGAAAATCTGAAGGATGGCAAGACAAACGCACTTGAGCAAGTGCCAGAGAATATTTTCCCATCCTCCTATTTCACAGTTTTTCCTCTCTGAGATTTTACTAGAATAAGTTTAAACTCTCTGAAAGTAATGTTACTTATTCATAGCTTACTCGTTTTTCTCCCATATTAACCCACTCATACTTAGTCTTCCGAGCTTGGTCTACCATCATTTACTGAACATCTACCATGGGCATGTACTTTAGACAGAGATACAAAAATCAATAAGGCATAACTGGGGTGTGCAAATTGTTCACCTTTGATGCAGGGAGGTCCATGGTAGATGCTGAAAACACATGCTAACAATTTACAGCCAGATTCCATGTCTTATCTGGATGGGCTGGCTCTGCTTGAGCACTTCTTTCTCTGTTTTCCAATGAATGCTGAGCTTTTCTACTTCTATTTAGCCTGATTTATAATCATACTCTACAACCAAACTCATTTCTTCTCTGCTTTTTCAAAAATTTCTCCACGGATAATTGTTTAAGTTTCTTTTTCGGAGCACCAATAGCTTCATTTTTTCTGATTATGAAAAAATACATTAATTTAAAAATATTTTAAGAATATGACAGTGCGGGACATCTAAACTGAAAATCTTTTTGCAATCTTCATTCCTACTCTGATATATTGTTAGCAATTTGGTATTTGTGCTTTCAGTTTTTTTTTTTTTTTCTTTTATGTACTATAAGTTATTTCCTTAAAAACTAGAACTAACTTGGGTCCGGCGCGGTGGCTCACACCTGTAATCCCAGCACTTCGGAAGGCCGAGGGGAGCAGATCATGAGGTCAAGAGTTTGAGACCAACCTGGCCAACATGGTGAAACCCTGTCTCTACTAAGAATACAAAAATTAGCCAGGTGTGGTGGCACGTGCCTGTAATCCCAGCTACTCGGGAGGCTGAGACAGGATAATTTCTTGAACCCGGGAGGCAGGGGTTGCAGTGAGCCGAGATAGCACCATTGCACTCCAGCCTGGGTGACAGAGCAAGACTCCGTCTCGAAAAAATAAATAAATAAATAAATAAAAACTAGAAATAACTCAATATTCTATTTTGGATACCTTTCCATGTCAAAACATAGAGAAGTAACTCATCCTTGGGAAAAACCGCATGGCATTCCATTGTAAGCACATGTCGTAATTTACACAACGAATCCTCTATTCATGGTTTAAAGGTATTAAAAAAATGGTTACCACATTTGACAAAACCTCAAAACTCTCAATAGTTCAACCAGGCTTTTATTTGAGTTCATTTTGATTGTTCTAATCTCATTTCTCCTCCACCTGCTTTGCTTCCTGTTCACCCTCCAAGCAGAAATCTGGTCCACAAATAATTGCCTAGGTCTGTTCTCTTTCCTTTTTTATCTTTTTACATGATCTGGAAGGACCAAACATCTGCTTAAAGGAATGGCCAAGTCAATTTATTATGTGCGTTCATATAGTTTTACTCTTTGTAAAAGTCTTCTGTTAGGATATATTGTCCACCTTTGCCAGTAATAGCACAATTCATGTTGCTGATTGGAAAGCACAGAGTGTTAGAGGGCATGGAATAGGAATGAAGGCAATTTACTTTTTTCTTTCTTTTTAGCATGATGCCTATCTGCACTTGCCTCTATTAATTTGTTTAATTTCCACTAAGCTTTGTTTCTTAAGCCTGCTGCAGAAGAAAACAAATGCCAAATCTAATGAATGCTTACTATATGTTTAGCAACAGCCGCGTTTTATGAGAATTCCTTCCCTGTGAAGAGCAGGATTGCATTAACCAAGAGATCTCTTGTGAGATTTTCAGTTCCTTCTCATCTTTCTTTCTCCCCCCACCTCTCCTCCCACTTTTATGTTCTGCACCAAGAACTGATGCCATCCCCCAATTTTTATTGCTTTGTCAGAGTTCACACCCCGCTACATTTTCCTTTCTTCTACAAATATAGTCTGCAAGCTAGTGTCTCTTTGCAGCCGAAAAGCTGTTGCCTTCCGCTGGGCAGTGACGAATAAAATGAGTTGGGAAGGAGGTCACATTTTCGTTCTGGCCCCCTAGGACAGTTAAGTCAGCAACGCATCTTAAGTCAGACCTCCTTTAGCCAAACATTGAAAACCCAAAACTTTAAAAAAATATGTAAATCATTTTCTGTGGCAGTTGCTCTCATTTCCAGGGAGGCTCCTAATTCTTGCACACGTCCCTAGTGAGAGCTTTCCTCAGCCTACATTCCTTGCCTTAACCCAGGTCATTTTCCTTCTGCTCAGTTTTAGAGTTCATTATTCCAATGAATTTACAAGTATTCCTTACCACCTGTATGTGCAGAAAAAATAGAAAAACATGGCCTGGTGACACACCAACACCATTAACAGAGATAAGGGCACTGGGCTAAGGAGAGATTGCAACCCTTCACAAACTCTGGGTCACACTAATTGCCAGACCCCAAAGCAACCCTGGTTCCTAAGAGCCTCCTCCCATGCCCGCAACCCCCACCCCACCGGAAGTCCCCACATCAGCTTTGGCAGGTAACTCCCTCATCTTGGACCTCAACCCTGGCCTCCTAGGACAAGACACAGACCGGCCTGGTTCTTCCCTCCGGCTCCTCCTTCCATACAATTCTTTATAATTTTTATTTTAAAATAATTTCAGACATACCAAAAAGTTGCAAAAATACTACAGAGAATTATTGTACACCATTCACCTAGATTTCCCCCAAAGCTAACATGTTTACATATATGCTTTATCATTCTTCTCGCTATAAATATATGTCATTCTTTTTTTTTTCTGAAATATTTGAGAGTAATTTGCAGACACATAGCCCCTTTACCTTGAAATAATTTTCAGTATGTATTTCCTAAAAACAAAGATATTTTCTCACAAAACTATAGTGCACTTATGGAAATTATGAAATTAACATTGATACAATGCTACTGTCTATGTACGGATATTCAAATTGTGTCAATCATCTGAGTAATGCCTTTTATGGAAAAGGAGAAATAAATTTCTAGGCCAGGATCCAATCTGCGATCACACGCTGCACTTAGTTATCATGTCTAATCTTCTTTCATTTGAAACAGTTCCTCAGTCTTTTTCTTTCATTATAAGTACAGACCAGTTATTTTATAGAATGTCCCTCAGTTTGGGTTTATTTGATGTTTCTTCATTTGATTGAATTGTTTGCTAATCCCTGTCCCTCCTAGATTTAGAGAATTTTCATTTATTTTCAATACTTAAATTTTTAATTCAGAAGAGCACAAAGGAGGAAATAATGAACATATATGTTTGTCATACTTATTTCATATCTATCTTTTCTTTAAGATAAAAACCATACAGGTGAAAGAAATGTCCCCTAACTGGTTGCTGCCAATCCATTTTCTACATGCGTAAATTGCACCTTTTTAGAATCTCCACTTAAAATCCTTCAATGGCTCCCTGTTCTCCCAGGACAAGCCCAAACTCCTGACAGACAGATTCGTCTCAATATGGTCCTACATTTCTCTAGTATCATGGCCCCTCTGCCTGCCCCGCCTCCATATTTAATTCTATCTAAGCAACTCCCCCTTGGGGAGCGGGGAAACAAAG